TTGGCCTGAAAAATCAAAAAACAAAGCCATGACTCCTAAAGCTCGACTCAAGACAAATCATTGAACATTGATGCAGTTCAACATTGATGCATGGCAATATCACTTCCGGATGTTGGACAATCAAACCTTAGAGTTTTCAAGATAAAACAAGACGATGCAACAAACCAACCAATTTCAAATTGCCATGCGCCGAATCCACTCCATTGCCTCGGATAACCCGAAGCGAGCCTGCGTGCCAAATTAAGGCAGTTGCCGCGGCATTGGGTCACATCTTTTGGCCGGTGCAATAGGACCATAAAAACAAGTGATGGTCAATGTACTCAAGACCTGATCAAACAAAGAAGCCAACCTTTGTGAAGACCAAAAATCCGATTCAATTAATCATTCTTTTGAAGGGTTTCGAAACCACAATGCGTTATTGTATATACTTTGGTGACCTTTGGTGGTTCCCTGTTTACATGCCTGCGTGCTTGAGTGCGCGAAATACACAAAAATCGTTCTGGCAAAAACTTCAGAGATCTTTGGTGACTCACTGACTATACCCCACCCCATGTGTTGAATGTGTGGAATACACGCCCACCAATCTGAGCCCAAGTAATATCCACATGTGCGTCAACGTGTCTCCCGCAATCGATCCTGAACTGTTTGGATTACAAACGCAGACCCAGGAAACAAAACAAACACTTTCCAAAAGCTGAAAGACCCGTGGCTCCAAACATGAACACATATGTTTGGAATATCGAAACAAGACCAAAAGCAAGTATAGTATATGTCTGAAACCTATATATGAAGTACTTGTTTACACCTGAGGATGCGAGCACGTGTGGCCCAACACCGCCTTGACCATTGAATTGAACATTAAAAGAAATAACACCGTTGCCAACGATAGACGAGATATAGGCTTCTATTTTCCACTTGCTAAGTTGGCCGGTCGAACTTACTAAGTTCGACGGTCGGTTCGACCGGTCGAACTTAGTAAGTTCGACCTGTCGAACTTAGTAAGTTCGACCGGTCAAACTTATAAGCGTAGATATTAAGTTGGATAACCTGGATAACCTCAACTAAAACATATGTCGAACTTACATATCTTAAGATAGTAAGTTCACATTAACTAGATCATATGTTTGCTATCTTCGCGCCAGAGTTACCAAGTGGTTATATCACCTTAGTTAGTACAGACAGGAACACAAGTGCACAGATTAGAACACGGTTGCAAGTTAGTTACCGCAGTTGCAACCACCTTGTAACTATATCAGTTATAGTCTAGTTACATTCGGTTAGTAAGCTGGACAACCAGGCTAAGTACTTATAACGCCAACCGCACATCCAAGTAAGGTGCAGGAGGCCGGCGGCAAAGATGGTGTCGGCTCGTTCGATGTATGTAGCACGGTGTATGAGAGTGGAAAGGGCTCGGTGTAGCCGAAAGAGCTGTTGCATGTTGGTGGTGTGGCGAATGCTGGCGGACGTGGCTCAGTCAACAGGCCAGTGCGGCTCCCACGCTGACCAGATTCTGGAGAGTCTTCAAGGGGCACTTGTTGAGTTTGTTCAAATGAAGTCCATATCGGGCGCCCGCTTCACGAAGTTGCTCCACGGTGCATTTGCTCGTTTGGAGAAGACGAACACTCTTGATCCTTGGCCGATTCTTGAATGGCGTCAGGTGGAGAGCCAGGTGGTGAGGGCAGGAATGGACCATGAGAGACGGATGCGGTGGCTGAAGGACATTGGCCAGTATTGGGGGCTTGTGGGGCGGTGCCTCGGGAAGTGTGGCTGGAGCCGATGGAGCTGAGCTGCGGCTTCTGGCATCTTTGCGAGGAGCAAGTTCCAGGCCATGGGCCTGAAGCTTGTGCTCGCTCGAGGTCGTCGGTCTTGGCCTTTAGCTCACGAAGAGCAGAGCCCTCAGCTGCAGCGGGAGCGTGGGCTGCGAGGTGGTGGGTCACCAGTTCGATGAGTGGTGCCAGGTAGGCACGGGCCTGCGTGGTTTTGTTGGGGATCTCGTTGCCTTGGGCGCGATGAAGGGCTTCGGCTGTGGCATCTAAGTCCAGGCGTTTGTCGCGCAGGTCTTGGAGGAGATGAGTGATGAAGATCGATTCGGCGATACTGCGGGTAGGTATCAGTCCACAATACTTGCCATGGCTCAAGGTGCGAGCCGTGAAGTCCGCAGTGCCATGATAGGCAAGTACCCAAGGGTACACATCGAAAATGGGGAGGCCGGCAATCCCCGCCTTGCGTGACCATTGAGTGGGTTGGATGGTGCGGAACAACTGGTGGCCGTGGAGGACATTTGCGTCCCAGTGAGTGTAAGGGAGGTGCAGGTGGGGTGGAGTGTGTTGGGCTGTGAGTGAAAGAGGTGTTGTTCGGAGTCATGGGTGCAGAAGGTGCGGAGGAGGAGGTGGAGGGAAATCATGGTGAACCGATGGTGGTGATGTAGGGTGTTGGCTGGGGGAATGGTGGTATGGCTGATGTTGATGTGCTTGGTGAGTGCGAATGGCGTGAGTCATCGGCCCATACGTGTGAGTGGGCGTGTACTGGGTGGTCGCTTGCTGCTGATGGGCTTGGTGGTGAAGGTAGTGTCGCCAATAGTACTGCTGCCACTGCGCATCCATGGTGATGATAGATAGGTTCTCCGGACATGGCGCATGATCCAGCTGGCAAAACCATGAAAGTCGGGCAAAAAGCAAGCGTGTGAACGGCGGCCGCGGCAGCTTTTTCTGTGGACGAGTCCAGTACGTGAGGGAGAAGTGAGACAAGAGTGGCGAGACTGGTGTAGAGGTGAGGCTGTTGGATGTTGTCACAGGTCGGGTGGAGTGGTGTCAGGTGACCAGGCAAGGCCACGAACTATGGCGTTCTTAGTCTTAGGGTCAATGACCCAGCATCGGCCATTTTGGTGGAACACAGCGCCGTGTTGTTGTTGGAGGAGATTGGCGGCTTGCTCTCCCCACCGCCCTGGGTGATTTTCTTGCCGGCGCCCCAAGCAAGAAGTGTGACAACGATGGAGAGGGAATTTTGGGCAAGGTTCCGGGTGTTGAAGATAATGCGAGCAGTCTCTAGGGGTGTTGCGGAGTGTTGGGGGTGTCGAATTGCTCTGCGTGACAATTGAGCCAGATTTCAAGCTGCTCTTGAGCTGGCTTACGAGTATAGTGGGGTGGTTCCTTCCAGGAATTGAGCACGCGGTGCGCTGTTGGATAGTTGCAGCTGTGTCGTTGTCTAGATCAGCAAGTTCAGTATTGGATCGCAATGTGATAGGTTGTCGGTTGGAGCGAGAACGGCTGCGGGATCTCGGTGAGACGCCGAGTTGGTGTGGGAGTGGCGGGAGCGGCGCTGATGCTGTTGATCCGAGCGACCTCTGTGGCGATGTCTGCGGTGTCGGCGACGGCCATGATGCCGGTGGCGGCGTCGCCTGCGGTGATCGGTGGAGGGGGAGGTGTTGCTTGTGTTGCTCTGTTGTCGGTAGTGTTGAGCGGAAGTGGAGTCAGTGGTCTGCTGAGACGAGGATTGCTGAATGGCTTTTCAGCCGGGTTGGTGAATGCTGGCTGACTTCGGGTGGGATTGGTTGGTGTGGCAGTGGTGGAACCTTGTGCGTTTTGTTCCGGGCCGGTGGGCTGGTTGGGGTCCGCGAGATTCATTGGTGGAAAAGCTGAAAAAGGAAGTGGCTGCCAGACTCCATTGTGAGGGGCGCTTGTGTGGGTGGTAGTTGAGAAACAGGATGACGGAGTCTTGTGGCAGCAATGTAGTAGGAAAGCTGTAGGTAATGGGAAAGACGGGCGCTGGATGTTGAACTGGCTGTGGAAATGTGGCTGGTGGTGTTGGAAAGGTGGGATGTGAAGGCCATGTGGAATGTTGCATCATGGGAAATGGATGGCACGGTGTAGGGGGAAGTGCATGCTGCTGAACTCTCAACTCACTGTTGTCGTCGGCAGCAGCATGAGCGGCGGCGGCAGCACGAAGAATCGGCGCCAGGCAAAAAGTCACTGGATAACAGTGAATGAAAGTGAAACGTGGGTGGCTGAGTTCAATTAAAATTCCATCGCAAATTGAGTGGAGGTACTCGCAACAAGTTGAAACAGGAAATGTGAGCCATCAGTCCAACATGTGACAGTGCGTGGAAAATTGGAAAAGTTCAGCTGCGTGTTACCCGAACCTTGAAAGCTCTGGAAAGAAACTCCGTGAACCCGGCGGTGTCAAATCTCCGTAAACTCGTCAGTGTTTTGGCAGGAAATTCATTGGGTGAAACGTTCAACTCAGAAAAGATAATCCAACGCATGCAGAGAACGCTGAATCACTATGTGATTCCCGATGGCTTCGGCGCCCCCTTACGGGGGATCACACTCTGCACCCAGTGGGACGACAGAGCGGCGCACACTTAGACAATGGGTTTGCAGTTAACTCTGTTCCACGAGGAAATGGATGAAGGGAAAGAAAGGTGAATCGTTTGGGCGCTTGAAGATGTTTCAAAAACTGTGTGTGCACATCTGCGGAAAACAGCGGTGGCTCAGAAAAGTAGCTGCAGAAAGCGGCGGTGGGGAATGTTTTGGGGTCTATCATGAGAACAACCATGGCATCAAAAAACAACGGTGGAGATAGGGGTGTCGTAGGTACAGGTGGATGAGTGGATGATCAGTCCACCCTTCCCTTGTCATACCGTAGCTTCGTTGCGTACGGTGGGTATGACGAGCCGTACACCCCTGCACTGAACAAGAACTCTTCGGACAGAGTGTGACACACACACACAGATTCTCGAAAGTTAGAACAGGGGAACCTCCCCAGAATATGATGACTGTGTTACCAAGTTCCTTTCAAAAGTAATCCCCCAAAAATGTTGCTTGGCGCGACAAAGGCCTGAATGTGGTTGTGTTCGCCAGAGCCTTCCTGTTTGAGGTTGCCCTTGAGCTTTCTGAGTGTTTTCAGCAGTTAAGCAATGTTACCGCAGCCAACAACAAAATCACTTATGAACGGTTCACCTGTCATTTTTGCGGTATCTCGTTCTGTCTCCGGTGTGTCAGGTTGAATCCTCGAGTCTGGAAGTCCGACGCAAATGTGGTCAGTGGTGGCATGAGCTTCGACATCTTCAAGCCTGGCATCTTGCTGTTGAACGAGACCAAAATGGAGTGCAACTTAGGCGGGGGTGTTGCGATTGGTGCACTCTAAGAGAGATTGACGGTCTTGCCCCGCAGACGAAAGTGATGGGACGACCAGGGAACAGAGTTTGTTTTTCTATAGTGATGATCAAACCCCAATAACGATGGACTCAAACCTACTAGAGTCATAAGTCATAAGTATTTGGAGTCAGGGTGGTTCGTTTACTTCGGCTTCAACTCTCTCACCTGGTTTGTTTCTGCGAAAGTGGAGCGGCGCTCACTGTCAACCTGAAAAGCTCAACTCCACTTTTGCCAGGGCGAATGATTCGTGCAGACGTGGAGGAGCCAGGCCGCTTCTACGTGCTCGACGACCGGCTCGAGCTGCTGGAGCAATGAGGGTGGACGAGCGCTCGGGAGGGCAAGCCGGACCCAGAGACTACTTGGAGGCCATCGCTAGTAGGTTGGAGGCCATCACTACTAGCCATGGCTAGTAGGTTGGAGGCCATCGCTATTAGGTTGGAGGCCATCACTACTAGCCATGGCTAGTAGGTCGCTAGTAGGTTGGAGGCCGTCACTACTAGGTTGGAGGCCATGGCCAGTAGGTTGGAGCTACTAGGTTGGAGGCCATCGCTCGTGGGTTGGAGGCCATCACTACTAGCCATGGCTAGTAGGTTGGAGGCCATCGCTAGTAGGTTGGAGGCCATCGCTATTAGGTTGGGGGCCATCACTACTAGCCATGGCTAGTAGGTTGGAGGCCATCGCTAGCAGGTTGGAGGCCATCGCTACTAGGTTGGAGGCCATCGCTTGTACGTTGGAGGCCATCGCTAGCAGGTTGGAGGCCATCACTACCAGGTTGGAGGCCATGGGTAGTACTTGTAGGTTGGATGCCATCACTGCTAGGTTGGAGGCCATCAGTACTGGGGTAGAGGCCATCGCTAGTAGGTTGGAGGCCATGGCCAGTAGGTTGGAGGGCAGTGCTGGTAAGTTAGGTTGGAGGCCATCACTAGTAGGTTAAAGGCCATCGCTGATAGGTTGGAGGCCATCGCTACTAAGTTAGAGAAAAATTACTATAAAGTTCAAGCCATGACTACTAGGTTGGATTGCTACTGGGTTGAAGGCCATTACTATTTTCCACGGACATACCACTTGGATGGACCAGGTCGAGGACAACGCACTGGTTTCTCTTGAAACAAGGCGCCCTTACAATGCCAAGGTTCCAAAGAATTATGCGGTGCTTCCGAGTGCTTCCGGGTCTCTGCATGGTAGACTCATTTTACAAAGCCTGGCTTATAACATCTTACAACATTTCGCAGGAAAGGGGGATCATAAGACGTTCCACTGTTCGATTTCAATTCTATATATGTCCTGTAAAGGTGAATGTAGCGACTTCATCCGCTCCATTGGCGATTGTTATTTTATTTTTTCCGGGCCCATCAAAACCCACTCTGCCCTGCTTCAAAGTGACACGCGCAGTTGATAGATTCTATCACTAGAAGACCCTGTTCTTCTTGTGTATGTGACGTGTTCATACAGTACATGTTCCACTTTTCGACGAAGTGATCCCCTGTTTTCTGTGCCAGTCGATGAAACCGCGAGGAGAACACCTTGTCATCCCCGACGACAAGGAACAGTGCAGGGTCCAGCTGTTCAACAGTGCCCAGGAGCTTTCTCAATGAGGACTCTTGCAGGTCAGGGTCGCCTTTTAGAATCTTGAGATCTTTTTTGCTTTTGGAAAGCTGATGTCAGATGGCCCTTTGCCCGGTGCTTGTCCTTTGGCGTTGGGGGATCTAGTGACCCAGTGTTGGGCACGATGTTTTTCTTTCACGCTGTGATTCGTTCGAGCACTTTGCAGTGACAGATGTTCGAAAACGGTCACCTTCAGCCTGGCCTTGCAGATCTGACTTGTGGAGATTTGTCTCGCAGGTTGCTGCCAGGCTGCAGCCCTTTGACGCAAGAGCTCTTGTTGGTCCCACTGACGGTGGAGCATCTCTCGCAATTCCACACAGTTGGGGGCAGGCGGGGCTGGGCCGCTTGGTCGATGCTGGCGGAACGACGCCGTGTGGCGGAACGAAGGGTATGTCATAGACGAAAACCGCACTGCTGCTGCCACTCTTGTGCTAGGTGGACATTCGCCAAAACAGCCTACAGCCCACAGCAAGCAACACGGAACCTACAATCGCAACATACGCTGGGACAGTTTTGTAATCGTTCGTCGTCATAAATCTACCTATGTGTATATATGGCAAGTCTTGGAAGTATGTAGAGACGTTAATGATTTCATCCCCTTGCGATTGGCCATTCCGATCTCAAGATCTTCGAGGGGTAGGACATGGAACTCCTGATCCTGACCGGCGTGTTGGTGGCAGGGATCGGAGTTGGGCTGTCGTTCAACGGCAGGGGAGACGTATCTCCTGTCGTGTGCCACTGCGAGTGTTCAGGTGAGAAGACCTCCCCAGTTGCTGGAGGCAATCCTTTCACGGACATTTTCTTGAGTTGGGTTGTTGGATTGATTTGTGGAGGGGCATCATTTGTGCTGGCACGATTTTGGTGGCAGAGCGAGGGCATTCCTGTCTCCCCCAAGGGTAAAGGCAAGCGTGGAGTTTACGGCGCCGGAATTCCTTTGCAAATCACAGGATGAGTGAAGGAGATATTTGGTTTGTTGATTATGGTGAAGGGCCACCTCAGGTTTGGCATAGTCGACTCCTGGCCGCCCACATCGTTAATTCGTTGTGGGTGATTGTGACCCCGGACCATGACATATACGAAGAGCAGCTTGACAATTCGAATCCGGATGTTGTACAAGTCGTGCAAGGAGGCGGAGGACTAGGCGCTGCAGTTCCAGCCGCAGTCAACCCTGCCAACATATATGGGTTTCGGGCTATGACAGCGCAACAGTATCAGCAGCTTATGAACAATGCAAAGCAGTATGCAGCAGGTTTGCGTGTTCAGATGGGCCTTCCTCCCCCTGGCCTCCATCCGGCCCCTGGAGCCGCAGGACCAGTTGTACCGCAGGATCCAATGGTCTGGGTGGCGATGGAGGCTGATCATGGGAAGGTGGCTGGTGAGGTCATTTGTGATGTTGGTGTACCACTACCTGCAGGTGCAGTCACGTTGGGTAGTTCCAAGGCATTGATTCCTATCAACACAGGTGCATTGTATGTCAAACAGGTTCAAAAGAGTAAGGTTGGCACGATGGTTGTCAAAGACCTCAGAGTTCTCCCGCTTCGATTTGATGAACAGGGTCAACGAAGGGAAGAGTTCAGCAAAGCAGTGGCCCGCATGAGTCAAGATGAGATGCCCGGGGGTGGCCTGATGTTGGATGGACCTCCGTCCGCGTTGGCAGTCATGAAGGGCATTGTGGCACGTGGGCTCACTCCAGTGACCGATCACGAGTATTGGGTTCGGACTAATGAGGCATTGAAAGGTGATAGATCATTGTACGAGATGGAGGTCATCACCCGTGCATTGGAGGCTTTTGCAACCCAAGATCAGCTCAACATTCCAAACAGTCGAGGGTGTGAGTTGTTGATGCGTCGCTGGCAGTTGATCAGAGAAGCTCATCGGTTGAATCCCAACTCGCCTGACTACTCGGCCAGTGACATTTTCATGGGTTGGGAGTACAGGCGAGGAGCAGGAGTTCATCAGGAGCTTGCCAAGTTTGTGGCCTCAGAGTTGAAGGACATGGCACAGATCTCAAAGGAGGCCAGGAAGGCAAGAGAGGAGGCTGCGCTCAAGAAGACCAAGGGCGGGGGCAGAGGTGCTCCTGCCGAGGCCAAGTAGCCTCCCTTTGCACAGCTGATCGGGTTGAGGGCGCTTTCGATCAGCTTCGTTTTTCTCAGTGCCCTGGTTTTGTTTCATCTCAGGTGGCCTCCACATCATGCTGGACGACACCTTGCACGTTGAAGAGCCTTGGATGCGACAGAGGGATTTGCTGCCTCTGCCTCACTTCATTCCGGAGGGGGACCCTGGAGATCACGGTCACCCCCGAAGAGCTGGTTTGTCTGAAGGAGCCTACAGGCGTCATGTCAGACGTCATGAGAACGTTTGCAGGGCAAATGAGGCGATCAGTGCAATCAACAGCTTGGCGGGTTTTTCTTTTGCAAAGCAAGGAGCTCCGTCGGAAGTGCAGTGCAAAGCAATGAGTGGCATCTTGAAGTCGATATGTGAGGCCCCAAGGCCGAATTCATCTACAGTTACACCTATGCGTGAGGCCGTTCGTGAGCTTCTGCATTACCGTCCTTCCACAGCATATGTTGAGCAGGAAGAGACGGGGACAACTACCGTTAGGCCGTACCAAAGAGACCTGGTTTCGTTGCCAGAGCCTGGTGCCCGTACACTGGATGCCATTGACCTGGTTGATGATGTGGGTCGCGATATCCTCTCGGCCTTCCACGACACAATGCTGCGAGATGTGGAAAAGGATCCGCCTAAGAGGCTGCCAGGAGATATTACTCCATACATGGATGTGAAGCTGAAGGCATCCTCCACATTGTACGAACAGTTCGTATTGGATCTATGGGATAGGAACATGCTGGAGTTTATAGATAAATCCAAATGTGAGGTCACCCCCTTCTTTGTGATCAAAAAATCTGGCAAGCTCAGGATGGTTTTGGATTGTCGGGCATCCAACGCCTTCTTTCAGGACCCTCCGGACATTGCCATGCCAGCCGGGTATTCGTTCTCCCAACTCGAGATTCCTGATGGGAAGAATATGTTTATTGCACAGACGGATGTCAAGGACTATTTTTATTCCATTGGGATGCCAAAAGAACTAAGGCCGTTTTTTGCTTTGCCAGCCGTGGATCTTCGCCGGGTGATTCCCAACCATCCCCTTTGTGGTCAAAGACACGATGATGTTTTGTTGATGCATCCTGCAATGAAGGTGGCGCCCATGGGCTGGAACTGGGCAATGTTCATCGCCCAGCGAGTACATCAACATCAGAGCATGCTGGCCGCTGGACTTACAATGGACAGGGTTCTGGTTGATGGGCGCCCTAGCCCCTCAATTGCAGAGGATGTAGCAATTATCCCCTATGCTGATAACCTCAACATCGTTGGTTGTGATCAGGACAAGGTACAAGCAACAAAGCACATCATTGTCAAGCATATGGAATCACTTGGCTTTAGGATCCATGAAGAACAGGAGGCAATGGTTCAGGCAGAGTCATTGGGCTTTTTCATTGATGGCCGGGTTGGGAAAGTTTATCCAAAGCCAAACAAACTACAGAAAGTTCGCAAAGTTCTGAATTGGTTGGCCCTGCGTCCTCGTGTCTCAGGAAAGATGTTGGAGCGCATCATTGGACACTGCATTCATTTTTGCATGTTGAGAAGAGAGCTTTTGTCGGTTTTTCGTGCTGTTTATGACTTCAAGATCATTGCATACAATAGCAGGCAAAGACTCTGGAAGACAGCAGCTTTGGAATGTAAGTGTATGGCAGCCCTTCTTGATTTGTGTTTTGCGGACCTGCGACGGCCGTGGTGTCAGGAGGTCACAGCAAGCGATGCCAGCCTCACTGGAACTGCGGTGTGCTCATCTCATTGGGAACCAACGCACATACATCAGGTGGGGAGACAACGGGAGTTATGGAGATACAGGGCTGTTGGCGGTGCCGGGAGGGCCAGAGAACATGTTCAGGCCTTGGACCCATTCACTGACCAGGAAACGGTGAGACCATCCACCCCCATTGCTTCACTGGTGCAACCTCTGGATAGTTTTCAGTTGAATCTAGACTTCAAGGAGGTTCCTTCATCTTTGTTACGAGTTGAGGACTGGACCATTGATTTTTCAGCACGTATGACCATGCCAGAGCACATCACGTTGCTTGAGGGTCGAGGGGTGGTTCAGGCCCTCCGGCACAAAGCCCGGGGGTCCGTCAACTTTGGACAACGACATATCCACTTGAATGACAACCTTGGTATGACACTTGCTTTCGACTTCGAGACTTCCAAGATGGGTGTGGCCGACGAGAACCTCAGTATAGACTCCAAGGCAGTACCATGGCTGGGAAAAGCTCTGGCCATGTTGAGCAAAAACCTCCTTCCGACACAAAAGCTGTTCCAGGTCGAGTACAACAGTTTTTTGGAAGATTGGAAGAAGGCCCTTCAAAAGTGCAACCTGCCTCGAGGACACTCAACTCCCTACCAGCTGCGCCATGCCGGCGTCAGTTGGGACCGCTTCAAAGGCTACAGGACACAGCTGGAAGCAAAGATGAGAGGTCGTTGGCAGTCAGACAGCTCCATGAGCAGATACGAAAAGAAGGCACTAGTGGCGACAGCTTTCGACACGCTCCCTCAGCAGGTTCAAAGGCTTTGCAATGCAGCAATCCAGACGCTGCCCAGCAAGGCCCTCAGCATTTTGGGCCAATGAAAGGTTTTCATGGGTATGCTCTTGAGTTGTTTGCCGGTTCAGCCCGACTTTCCAAAGCATTGTCTAAGTTGAACTGGCACGTTGAGGCTTGGGACATCAACTTTTCTTCGGCGTGTGACTTGAGTAAGGTGAATATTGTGAACAGCTTGATAGATAGAATCAAATCGGGTGCAATTCAATTTGTTCATTTTGGCTTGCCTTGCAATACATGGTCGCGTGCCCGCAGAAATGATGGCCGAGGTCCCGGTCCCCTACGTGACGACACAACTTTTCTTATGGGACTCCCAAATCTGTCAGCTGTGGACCAAGGAAAGGTCAAACTTGGAAACGTTTTGCTCCTTCACTCAGTCCGCCTAATACGAGCTTGTCAACAGGCCAATGTTGGTTGGACGCTGGAGAACCCCAAGACGAGCAGAGTTTGGTTGACAAGACAGCTAAGACGCTTGAAACACTGTCATTTTACATATGTGGATTTTTGTCAGTACAAGCTCCCTTGGCGCAAGTCGACACGTTTCCTTTGTTGTGACCGCTTGAACTTTGAACTTCGATGTTGCACCGGACCTCGAGGTATTTGTTCTCGTACATTGGCTCCACATTTGATTCTAGCGGGGTCTTACAATGGACAGTTTTTGACAAAACTTGCAGAGCCATACCCATGGACAATGGTTCGAACAATTGCTTCAGCAATTCATCAGCAGACTCCCAAGAGTTCGGGGTGAGAGTTGTTGGACAGTGGCGCTTGACTTCGTTGCATGTGGCCGGTG